TGATGATGATGATGATGAGATGATGACAATAACATTAATGGTAATAATGATGATGAAAAAAACTTGCAAAAATCCGGAGTTAAATTTTCATTCTCACTATAAAGTGTTTTTGCTGGATATTTTGCTGCTCGACTCTACAAGACATGCAAGGGCCAGAACTGGAAGAAATCTGCAGTACTGGTAAGATTCTTAATTCTTTAGGAGGACACCTTGATTTTTTTTTTTTTTTTTTTTTTTTTTTTTAATTGAACAGTACTAATATTACTCACAATACTCACAATACTCACAGTACAACTAACAGAAACTTACACTACTTACAATCTGCTTATTCTACTTACGATTACATACAATACTAGCATTACTAAGAAAACTCACATAACTTACTGTACTAACTCTTCTAACAAAGCTTACTCTACTTACAATTACTTACACTACTTACACTTTTAAAACTTGACAGTTACAAATTAATCAAGAGTAACTTTTGGGGTCAGATGTGTGGTACGACCTAAAACCTCTAGAAGCTGGCCAAGATCATTCTAAACTTTTTTTTTAAATTTCAGACGGCTGCTTTGTATCCTGGAGTTGTTTCTGCAGTCTGTTTCATTCTGAACTTCTTTATCTGGGGACAGCATTCTTCTGGAGCAGTAAGGGATAAATTTGATTGTATTTGTGCTCTGAATTTTCTTTATATTTTTTGTTTAACGGTACTTAATCCAATTTTGCTTGCATTTATCTCTTTTCAGGTTCCCTTTACAACCATGCTTGCTCTTCTCTGTCTGTGGCTGGGAATTTCAGTTCCTCTTGTTTTCATTGGATACTACTTTGGATACAGAAAACATGTGAGTATCAGCTTTGTCTTAATCTCATAATAAGATTTTTTTGTATTTAGTGGGATATAGAAAATTCTATTTCCCAATACTATGTAGGTATCTGTTGTTTTATTGACCTAAACTAGCAGTTGTAGGTTTTATATTTGACAGGAAATTAAATATTCAATTTTGCTATGCATTATTCAGCCATATGAACACCCTGTGAGAACAAACCAAATTCCTAGGCAAGTTCCCGATCAGGCCTGGTACATGAGTCCCTTGCCAAGGTAAGGTTTTTACTTTTTCCATGAGTGCAACTGAATATCATCATAAGCTGTACTGTATTGATGAAAACAAATTACTACTCAAAAGAGACAACTTTTGGAAATGCTAAAAGTAGGCATTAGGACCACAAAGTTACCTCTGGACAGACCTACCAGTATTTATTGGCATCTGATTCAAATAGAGCAGAGCTCTACTTGAAGCATATGCATATGCTAAAGAATGCAGGAGTACACATGTTTTTTTTTCTCATGACTTAAGTGCCAGTCCCTTTATTGGAAAGGAGTATGCATGTATTTTTTTGTGTGCCATTGTGTAATCTTTGTCATTATATTACTCATTTTTAGAAACATCTTTGTCTGGTACACTAAGAAAGAGCCATGTTTCCTTGTGCAGGAGTTGGAAATGTGTGAAAATTTTCTTAGCAATGTATTATCCTTGAAATCTGTTATTCGAGTAATTAATGCTGACTTCCTCTTTCAGCAACCTGATGGCTGGAATTCTCCCCTTTGGTGCTGTCTTTATTGAGCTCTTCTTTATTTTATCTGTAAGTAATCAAAATGAAGTGTCATTCTTCCCAGAAGTTAATTCTTGTTATAGGAACTCATCTCTTATCATCACCTCTAACCCTTTCACTCTCTTAAGTGACCAAGGAGGAGTTTCTCTCTACAGCATCAATACATTTTCAAGAAGTAGGGTGATGAGAAAAAAAAAATGTATTTATATCAGGAATAGGACATTGTTTGATTTAGTACTAAATTCTCAAAATAAAAATGATAAGAAATGGATGAGAGACAGTGCAGAGAATGTACATTTTGATCTTGGGAGTGGAAGGATTGAAGAATTATTGTAGCATAACAGTTCCAGCAAAATAGTTTTTTTAAAGTTACAGTTAAACTGTTTTATCACATAGCTAGGAAATTTGTCTAGTCAAATTCAATTGTGCTAGCATGCTTCATATTCCTATTGTACATGCTCATGACAGCAGCAAACAAATCTCTCTTGAGAAAAAAATTTCCATCAGGTTGAAAATGTTATTAAAACAATTGTTTCATACATCAGCTGTTCGTTCATCGAGATATGAAGCACTTGGGAAGTTTGGAGAGCACTGAAGAAGCTAGAGTTGCTCTCGGCTATGCCTCGAGCAACTCTTACGTGTCTTTCGTGCTCTCCAAACTTCCCGTGTGCTTCATATCTCGATGAATGCACGCTGATGTATGAACCAATTGTTAAGTATTATATAATTTGTTTTCTCTGCATTTTTAGGCAATCTGGGAAAATCAGTTCTACTATCTCTTTGGTTTCTTGTTTCTGGTGTTCCTGATCCTTGCCAGCTGTGTGTCACAGATATCTATAGTGATGATTTACTTCCAGTTATGTGCTGAGGTAGGAGAAGGTCTTTGCATTTTGAAGGTTAGACCCAATAATCCTGTGAAAGCAACTGGGGGTGATCCAATTGTACAGGTTTCCATTTTCTCAAGTCCTGTGTTTGATCTTCCTGAGAGGGGAGGTGCTTCTTCTGAAGGAAGGAGAGCCTATTTCCATATCAGCAGCTGGTTATCAAGTCTGACTTTACCATTCCATGGTTAAGTTGTGGGAATATTCATTTTATTAATTGAAGCCCTAAAAATACAAACTTCATGTCTGCATTGAATTCCACCGCTGAGGAAACACTGAAAGTTAAAGAGTTGCAGGAGAGATTGACCAAAGGCAATATTCAATTGCTCTATCTGGGTTGGGACATTTTTTGAAATATTTTGGTTTTTCTGTGTCGCCCCTCTTTTTTACACTTTGCTAAAAACTGTACTATCAGCCTTTATTCTTCAGAAAATTATTGCAGTTTATGTATAGGTTCATGAGAGAAAATTACAACTGAACAAAAATGGTACACTTTGTTAGACAGACTAGTGCTTGCCACACAACCTAACAAAGGAAAGTAGAAGAAAGACAACAAAATGTTTAAAGTGATAACCACCATTTTTATTTTTCTTGCAGGACTACCACTGGTGGTGGAGATCATTCTTCATGTCTGGTTCATGCTCCATCTATGTGTTCTTTTATGCAGTATTCTATTTTGTTACAAAAGTGAGTTTCACTAGATAGTTACAATTTCTTTACAGCTGTTACCGGTCTATAGCTTTATACAGATGTTATTTCCTTCAACTTTGAATTTTTCATACTATCTGTACTATCTATAAATCCATACTGCAAGTTTAAGAGTCTTGTTTTTTTTTCTGCTCAGATTTATGGCCTGTGCACTCTTCGCTGGGTTATACACTGTAAATCTGAGCTGAAAAAGACTCTTGAAAGTCCCTGTACCATGATGGCCACAAAACCGCATTTTAAAATCAAAATTTAAACAATAGAGAAGCAGTTTCTGGCACCCTAACCTGTCCATTTGATTTCTTTAGCTGAAAGTTTTATTTTATAATTTTCAAAACTTTTTAAACTCTTCTCTTGAATGAAAACAGAACAGCTTTTATGGGTCCAATAAGTTACCAGAACCTTTGAGAAATGGGCCTCTGGTGTGTATCTCACAGTACAGACCTTGAAGTTGGTTAGTAAGATGTATAGATTTATTAAATTACAAAACTTACTGTGGAATTCTCCTCTTCTCTTTGTTGTAGCTTGACATCCAAGATTTTGTCCCAGGTCTTTTGTATTTTGGCTACACATTTATCATGGTGTTGTCCTTCTGGTTGCTGACAGGAACAGTTGGATTTTATGCCACATACCTGTTCATCAGGCACATTTATGCAGCTGTGAAAATTGATTGAGGTGGAGCACCATGCAAAGAACCAATTTATAGTAACACTTAAACAGCAACTAGGGGAGAGAATTGGTAGCAATGGACTAGTTTTAGTCCTATGTACATGCATACGGTGACACCATGCTTTTAAGATATCAACTGTCTCTTTTAGTAATGAACAATTTTGCTGAATTTGAATGTTCAACATTCTTCATTGGAAATTTGTTTTGTCTAAATGTGCTGGTGGAATAATTTACTGTACACCATTTAATTTGTTGATTTCAATTAGAACATTTACCTTGTGTTTAACGATGAGAAAATGATTTTTTAACAGAACATTCCTTTTATGTAAGTTTTCAGGCAGGATTTGCTTGAAGTAATTCTTAACAACTTATCATTCATCCTTTAAACCCTGTTACCCTTTCACTCCTAGCAGGGACCAAGATATACTTTCTCCTTACATTATCAATACAATATCAAGCAGACAAGTGATGAGAATATTGAAAAATATCAATTGGGGGATCATCACATGATCCAATAGTAAATTCTCAGAACAAGAAGTATAAGCAATGTATGGCAGATAGTATGGAGAATGACTAAAGAGATCTTGGTCGTAAAGGGTTGAGTGACCAGCATCTAATTTCTCCTTACAGTATCACTTCTCAGTCTAACAGTAAGGTCATGAAAAAAAAGGAAATGGTTATCAACTATGAAAGCCCTTGATTGATAAACAAATTCTCTATGTTAGTAATGCAAGAAGTGTATAGAGAACAGTATAGAGAAGATGGATATTGATGTCTTGTCAGTACCATGAGAAAAGAGAACAGTATGGAGGATATGCATATTGATGCCAGGGTGTAAAGGGTCATGAATAATTAAAAGAGTTATTGTTATTTATCTTTGGAATGGTTTGTATCACTTAATTAGGTTGCAATAACAAAATGTTGAGCCAGATGTAAATTAAAGCTGTCTGATATGTACCAACTGTCCTTGTAACTGACCCACAGCATTTTTGTCATCCATGCTCTGAAAATTTTCCAGCATCCACTAAATTTCCTCCCCCACCAGAACCGTTTCACTGAACTGCAATTCCTCCTGGAGAGTTGAGAGGTTAAATAAACCATCTGTTTTTTTCTTTTTTACATTTTTGGAATCATTATTTTTTAGAGACAGGATTACAGGAAAGGAATCTAGAGTAATTTTAACCAACAGCCTTAATGAATCCTTGAAACTGTTTTGGAGTTTATCATTTACAACTCAAATGCCACTAAAAATGTAATTTACACCACATGTTAAAATTTTGTCACAAAACCTTTATTTACAATACTTTCACTCTTGTTAAACTCATAATTTTCATAAAATTATTTGACTTGAATATTAAGTTAGACCCACACTATAAGACCACGTTACAGTTCAACCCTCTTAATTTCTTCCAAGAAACAATTTGGTGACAAGATCCCTGAAATGTATGTGTTCTACATTATTGATTTAAGTATAAATTTAAGGTATGGTTAGTTACTGAGAAAAAATGACCAAAGACTTTCAAAATTAACATTGACTGAGGCCAGCATAGCTAGCTTTGCAGTAAATTCCATTTCCTGTTCCTAAGAAAGTATGATGAAGTTGTCATCACAGAAAGTCTAAATATCTACACTTGAAGCTAAGTCATCCAAAAGAGGGAAGGGTTTTTGGTCAGGAAAGTGCTACTTTCCATTATATTAACACATTTTTAAGTACACTTTGTTTCAAATGAAATATCTTGCAGCAAGTCAGTACAATCTCTCCCTTGAAAAAGCAAGGATAACATCTGTATAATATATTATACCAATTATCACTCCACAATAAAAAAATGTCCTAATAAATTATGAAACTAAGATGTATTGTATAGTTAGAGCCTCTAACTGGAGACAGTTTGCTCATTATAATTTTTTTGTCGTTGTTCAAAGTCATCTAAAGCTTGTTTAACTTGTCTTTCTCTTGAAATCATAGCTTGTGCTTTCTCTTTCATGTGCTGTTTGTTCTCCTGAAACCGAAAAAAAAAGACAGTTATTAAAAATGGTTGCAACCATCCATTTCTGATTTCATTGTTCCTTACATAATTGATTTTATCCTCGTGTAAGGGTTAACTTTTCTCTTAAAAGTGAACATTAGAACTGCTAAAATTAAATAAAAAATGAGACCTCTTATTATTTTTATCCAAAATAATGGGAAATGATTAAGTCTGTAACATTGCTTATGGACTTACTTAAATTATTATTAGCTATGGTTTGTTTTTGTGCAATAGATTATGTAATTTACAATGCTTCAAAACATCTGCTAATCCTACTGAATTAACTTTTGAGAGAAAAATGAAGGATATTTTTTCAGTTATACTAACTAACAGAGATCCCTTTAGACAAGTCAGGGTGAGCAATTTGCTATGCCAAGTGATAATTGGAGAAATCTATTTTGCCTAGTTCTTATTATCTTAACATCAAATAACAATTTCATCGTTGTTTTTATGACCCAACCGTTTTAAAATATTGTTAAAATAAAACGCACTCTTACCCTTCTTCTTTCCTCAGCATGTTTAAGCTTTTCTTCTATTTCTTCTTTGGTTCTCCGAGCTCCTTTCTTCTTCCGTCTTTCCAATGATCTCAGATGTTGAGGCCTTCTTTTCACGTTACCAGTTTCAGGGACCAACATGATATCAAACGCCATTCCTCCCCTGCTCTGAGGTCTTTCTGTCACTCCGCCAAGAGGCGATAAAGCATTTATTCTATTCCTAACTTCTTCCTGTTTTTCTGAAAAGGAAACTCGTTTCTCTTTCAAACTCTTCCTTCTCGTAACTTGAGTACCTTCGATGCAGAGCTCTAGAAAAAAATTAAAAATGAAGTTTACAATGTATACTCTTAACAAAACTCAGTGTAGGAATCACTCAAGAGTAACGAAGAATTAATTTAACCGGCAGTCGTCAAAATAAATAAAGACTATTAATTAAATGCATATTAACCCGAACGTGACACTGTTTTGCTTCGCTTGGACGCTTGGAAACAAAGCGAGCAACCCTTGCGCAAGCTTTGATCCACCTTCATGCGACTCAGTGCACGTTCTTTTACGGGACGCGCGGCACGCTCACGAAAAAATCACAGCTGCTCTACGAATTGAATTTTGAAAAATAACATCTTGTATTTTCGTTTGAGAATTCAAATGTACACCAACCTGGTGTCGGAGGCCTATCGTCTATCAGTGCTCTCTTCTGTTTGTCCAGTGTGGATTTTTCTGTCACAATATTTTCGTCGTCTTCTAGTTCACCTAAACCACTGTCCATAGTTCTTGTAGATTTTGCCGAGCTTTCCCGATTTGATCTTTCAGAATCAGAGTTGGAATTCAAACTACTTTGGCTTCCATTTAAACTGTCGACATTGGACTGTTTCACTTGAATTGTTGTCGAAGTTTTTCTTTCTGTCGTAGCTGTATTTTCTTGTCTATCTTCTTCGGGTGATGATTTTAAGTTTTCTTTCAGTTCTGTTGGCATTGGGACCACAACTTTGGACGTTTTTGAAGCAGAGCATCCCATATTTGATCAAGCACTGCAATGCAACAAGAGGTTCCGTGTCAAATATACCCTTGAAGAAATCTTTCCGTGTTCACTTGTGAGTGAAATTGCGAACAGGCACGAAATGTGAAACGTAGTAATCGTATAACGAAAAAGTAGAGTTCTCTTTACCTGTTTAAGGTGCAGAAGAAGGACAGAGAATTGAAGAATCAAATAACAAGGAGGAACCACCGATGAGCTACAGTATTCTCAGAGAGGATGGTTGTGTTAATTGGATTTGCGTTACAGTAGCTCGATTTATGCACGAAGCTGGTTGCTAGAGGAAAATAAGGTATCGTCATGGAAACGTTTACAAGTTTTCTTGTTGCTATGGAACTTTGTGCTGCTGAGTTATAATCGTGGGCTCAACCATATCGGGCTTTTCTAATAATGACGTCATCGATACTTTAAGAAACCGCTGACAGTTAGCGGGGTTGAGTTATTTCGAGAAATTCGCTAGTCATATGCGAGGTGATCCAATACGAAAAGTGAGCAAATTTGAGAACTTTTAGGTAAGAAATCCGACTTTGATTAGTACAACAACAACATGAGTTATCTTGCTTCCCTTGGTTGGTAATTTAGTGGGTTTACATGGTATATTTTGCATCTCTTGTCCTTAAGATTTGTTGGTTCAGTTCGCGAACGGCCTTATCCAATTGCGTTAGTTGAAAGCGCAATTGATTTCGGCTGAAGCAATTTACATTTTTAGGCTGAACTTTATACAATTTACAATATATCAATAACTTATTGAAAAACTGAGAAAAGTTACATTTGGCGTTGAAAGCATATTTATGATAAATAGATTACGCCAGAAACATCTCTAATAATAAGACTTAAATCAGACTAATTAAGAAAGAGCAGAAGACTTTCATTATCCGTTTGAAGAAGTTTTTACACAGATTTAACAAAGTGAATTATATATGTTCTTGAAATTAAGATGTAGAGTTGAAAGTAGCTGTTAACTTAGGAAGTTTTCTTATGGCGTCTTAAAACTTGAACGCGTTCATATTTGCTGAGCTGTTTTGTACTGAATGATATGTTTGGACGTGGAAAATTTATTTTGTTAAATTGAGAAATTAACTTACATTTTATGGTATTCTAATCCTTTATAATGACACATCCATTAACCTTAAGGTTTTCAGTCCTGACTTTGGGTTTTAATTTCTCATCTCTATTATTGTAGCCTCATTGCAAAGGGAAATAAGCACCATGTCCTTCGGTGAATATACTTCAAACTCCAGCACAGGTGATCAGGATTAGAACTGCTTGTCTGCTTTACCTTCAGCCTGTATTTTAATCCCAGATTGATTTCTGATTGTTGCATACTATTCTGTACTCAGAGCCTAGTACACCTAAGTAGTGATTATGGTTGATTTTTTACTAAGTACAATATTAAATGACTTTTGAATGCAGAACTTTCTTTTGAATCTTGTTGTTGTACATATGTTACAGGGATTATGTCACACTTGATTCTGGAGGGGTGTAGAATGCTCTCCTTTTGAAATTTATAATTAGAAACAATTTATTTGGTGTGATCTTAATTGTGTTTTTGGAAAATTTATGATATTATGTATGATTTCAGTTGTATATTTTGTTTGAAGGATCAAAGGGTGGCTCCACAGAGTATAACAGACTCTGTAGCTGCGTTAGTAATAATATTCAAGCAATCAACAAAAATGGTATGTTAACCCTTTAACTCCCAAGATCTGATTGTCAATTCTCCCCTTCAGCTACTACACATTTTCTTGTAAATTGATAACAAGAATTAGGTTTTCAATCAAGGTAATAAATTGTACCTGGTGAGTTTGAGTATTCTCACTTCCTGTTTGCTGTGTAATATATGAATACTTTAAAGAGAAGTTACATGGTAATCACCTCTGGGGGGTTAACCCTTAAACTCCCATGAGTGACCAAGACAGAATTTCTCCTTACAATATCACTATAATATCAACTAGATAAGTGTTGAGAAAAAGAAATATATCAATTTAGGGATGATTAGTTGATCCAATACTAAATCCTCTGAATTAACATTGTAAAAACTGTTTGGTTGACAGTAAGGAGAATTACAAATTTGGTCTGGAGGGTTAAGTTGAAATTGTGGTAATATAATAAGTAGACTTGTTGAAGGATCCACTTGAGTCTGGCCTTCAAGTGTGTTACAAACTTTCTTAAAAATATCAAATTTAACTGAATGGAAAAAATACAATTCCTGATGGAGTCTAAGGATTAAGCAAAAAAACAGAATTGAATTAGACATTGATGTTACATAGCTTCATTTCTTTATACCAGTTAGAGAAGCACATGGTAAGATTATAACACCTTCATGCTTGATTACTAATGCACTTTGCCTGTTGTTAAGGCAAACTCAGTTTATGTTATGTGTTGTCATCTAAAAACTCATCCAAATTCACAACCAATGTTACATCCATATATCTAAAAAGTAATCAAAATGTTGCATATGTCGACATATGTTTTAGAGAATTCTGTGACCTCACATACAGCAGTGAAACATAGACACACATTTACCACTGTGTGTCTTGAACTCAAGGAATTTATAGCTTGTATGGTATTTCTCTTCCTGGGACACATAATTTATTCTGTTTTTTTCTTGGTGTCAATCCACAGTCACTACAATTCAGAAGCTTGTGGACAAGCTTGGAACTTCAGAGGATAAATCACAGTTGCAGAGCAGACTGTAAGTTAAGATATGATTGATAATTCTCCTCTCTAGGTACTACACATTTCTCTGATAATTAGTTACAAGAACTTGATGTTAGATCAAGACAGCAACTTCTTCCTGAAAAGTTTGAGTATTGTTGTTACCTGTTGGTGAATAATGTATGGATATTGTAGGGAGAAGTTATATGTTGATCACTTTTAGGTTAAAGGGTTAACACAGTCACAGTTACTCTCCTCAGATTATTGTCGATTGATAGTGCCAACTCTTGTTATGAGTTTCAATTTTTTTTTTATTTTAGACAACAAACAGAACAAGCCACTCAAAAACTTGCCAAGGAAACTCACTCTTACTTGAAGCAGCTTCCACATCTGTTTGGAGAATCACCACCTGAAAGAGTATGTATTTTAGGCTCAACTTTTTCTGCAGTAACTTAAGACCCAATTTTTCTGGCCTATAAAATTGTATTCAACCATATTTGATATGGTTATTTATATTTGGTCCCTGTAGCAGTCTTTAGAAGGCAATCCATGGAGGAGGTAAAACATAATCATACTCTAAAAAAAAAAAAGACCCTGAAAGGTATCTGTAACATTCTGATAATAGTGGAGCTTGCAGAGCTTAGCCCCATAATTATACAAAATAGTAGTTACCCATCAAGCCGAAAAAATTTGGATGTATGACTGTATGACTGTACGACCGTACGACCATACAAGATGCTACTTTTAACATGCATGGTCAACTGTACTGCAGGCACACCAATGCCACGGCTTTGTTCAGTAGTCCAGTGGTCAGTGCACTAAATATTGCCAGATAAATATTACCATTATTTGTAGCCCATTGCATGAGAAAAACCATAGACATTGCAGTTTTCTGATAAACCTCTAACCAGAGGATTTTTTTTTCTTATTGTAGCGTCAAAGGAAAATACAAGTAGAGAAGTTAGCAGACAACTTCTCAACAGCTTTGAACACTTTTCAGCAACTTCAGAGGGTAAATTAATTTTTGAGTCTTAATGGAAAAATTATTTTTGATTTTTCTCTATGATCTAATTGAGGACATATTTGTGCATGATTGTGTGGATTGAACGCAGCACTAATTGTCAGTTATCATCCTTCTTTGGGTAAACAGAGTGCAGCAGAAAAGGAGAGAGAATCTGTTTCACGTGCAAGGTCAATGTCTGCAGCAATGCCAACCCCAAGTGTAAGTGTGCTCTGAAAATGTTGTCAGGTATTTTTTTTTTTTCAATGAATGGATTAATATTTAATATGTAATGGGTAATGAAGTGGTCCTTGCAAATTTTTCAAAGAATTAATTTTTTACACAAATGTCTATGTCACTTTAAGTTCAGACTAAATTCTTGAAGTGATGAAACTGTTGTTACATGATCTTTGAACACAGGTGACCAAATTAGCAAGTTTTGTTGCAAATTAAGACATGCAAAATTCTTTCTACGTATCATCATGGCAACCCAATTATATAATTGCAGCCAAGAGGGCTTTGCTATTGTGATTAACAATATTGTTTGATAATTTCTTTTCCAATAGCCAATGGGTGGATATAATGATGAGCATAGCTCAACTTCAAATGACAGGTAGGTGGCTTAATTTCCTTCTGTTATTAAAGGGTAATGTCCTCTTGAGTGTTGAAAGGGATCCAGGAGTGCATCAATTTTGTGCCTGCCTTTCAGCCAATCGGATGCAAACATATTTAATCAATACTGTTTTTTATTTGAATTAAGGGGGTAAGTTTCTAAAGAAACTGTGGTGCTTCATCAGTGGGAGAGTATAATGGGTAATTTAGCGTTGACAACTGAGTTGAAAATGTAAATTAACCACCGTCGAGCGTCAGCCCTTCGTCAGAGCAATAGACCGAGGGCTAACACTTGAAACATCAGCCTTTAATGGTGGTCAATTTACGTTTTCAACTCAGTTGTTAACACTAAATTACCTTTTTTTAATTTTTCTCTTTCTGAAGACTTAATCTCTCTTTGGTAAATATCTTTTAGAGCTGGCAGTGGATTCCAGGTACAAGCAGAAGAAGAGGTCTCTGTGGAATTGATAGAGGAAAGGGAAAGAGCCATTAGACAACTGGAGGTAATGTCACATGGGCCTTAACCCTTTAAATCCCAGGAGTGACCAAGACATTTTGTCTTTAAAAAAACACAATGACAAGAAGACAAGTGATAAGAATAAAGATAAATATCATTTGGGTAATTGTTAGTTGATCCAATACCAAATTCTTCGAAATAACATCATAAGAACTGTATTACAGACAGTATGAAGAATTTCCTTTGAGATCTGGGAGTGGAAGGGTTTAAATTTGTTGAAGAAAGGCTTATCTTTGAACATGCAGCATTTCTGTATCAATGTTGCAAAGTAGATCTTAGTAGCATGTTCCCAAGTGCTTAAGAATACGTACATGTAATAACCAGTGGTAGAATGGTACATGTTGGAGACCAGACTGAGTATAGAGTATAGTAAGGATTAAGAGAGGTTTTGAAAGAGTGAGGTTTTACAAGTCATTTACATGTAGTTTATAGCGCCATCTCTGCAATCATGTAGTTTAATCAATTGTTTGTGTCTTGTATATAGGCTGATATTGTTGGTGTCAATGAAATCTTCAGGGATCTTGCCACCATGGTGTATGAGCAGGGTGACATGATTGGTAAAACAATTCAATTTTACATATAAACCATTTTCTTTAAGGTCCTTAGTTTTCCATTAACTCTCCAATTGCCCTATCTCTATTTGACTTACAGATAGCATTGAGGCAAATGTAGACACTGCTGCAGTCCATGTTGAAGACGCCAATGTCCAGTTACAGAAAGCTAGTCACTATCAGGTGTGCACAACAATTATTTTCACTGTAACTGGTTGTAATGTTGCAATCTGATTGGCCTATTTGCTTTAAGAGTATAGACTTGCATCAGTGTGTCAGGCAATGGTCATGGGCAGAAAGAATCATTTTATTCGATGTTGATATTGTGGTTAAAAAAAAAAAAAAAAATTGACAGTAGATTGCAGACTCACAAAGCTGTGTCTCTGAGTCCACAACAGTTTGACTACTGTGATGACAAATATTGTTGTGGATGAGAGTACAGGCCTTGCTAAACCACTGTGATTTGTTAATTTGGTAACTTTGAAATCATAGTTACTGTTTTATTGGATTTTTTTTTTTGTCATCTCATTGATTGTAAACAGTATTAGACAGAGTAAAAAAGTTTAGTCTGCTTTTTTTGGAAAATTGCAACAATGGGAGTTTGGAACCTAGAGTTTAGGATTCCAGATAAAGATGTTATGGTTTGAGAACTGGCAGGGTCATAGTGTCAAAATAGGGATTAACTCCAACAGCTATGAGCCAATTAGGGTCAAAGACTAAACTGCTTTTAAGTGGATGCTTTGCTGAGATCAAAGGGCACAAAAAGTACTTTAAACTTGGAAATAATGAATGAAGTTATTGTTAAACAATTTTTCTTTGCAGAAAGCGGCAAGAAAGAAGATGTGCTGTATCCTAGTTATTTTGGTTGTTGTTGCAGGTGCCTTGGGTCTTATCATTTGGTTGTCAGTAAGAAATAGCAAATGAGGTGGATTTAAGCTTAAAAGCTAAGTTTTCAAAAGAAAGAAACCATTTAGCTCTATAGAACATTACTATTGGCAAAAAATAGGAGTTGGATTAGTGTAGGACAATACATGAACACTAGTGCATCTCATGATTCATAAGCACAATGTTGTCTATGGAATTACAAGCACACGCACTCTCATCTATGCTATTTCTGTTGTCTAATTTCATTAACCAGTGATGATATTATGAATTGATTACCAGGGATGACCACTTCATATTTAGTACTTGGTGAAAAATTTAGTATCAGTTGTTGTCTGAAGTTAATTGTTCTGTCAAACTGTCCCAAATGTATATTGTGTTCTAGCAATATTGTGAGTACAATTAAGTTGTGTATTCATGGTTTTCTGAGTTCCACAGTGGTCATTTTTACAGGCCATTGCTCCTCTTCATTTAATGATTGCCTCTGTAATGGTTTTCCTTTGTATAATACTACTTAAAAATAATGTTTAGATCTCTTAACTTTAGATGGCAACTGATCAATAAAGATTCAACTTCTTCATTACCACTCGAAGATAGATTAGCCAGAAATTTACAGAGTTAGGTTTGAAATATGGATTACAGTTACACTGTACCCATAATGTAGACATAACTGGTATGAAATCTTCATATCAAAATGTCTCCCAAGGTCTTTTTCCTTTCAAACACTCAAATTATACTACACATTGGTGTTAACATTTTAAAAAAGATGCAATTTATTTAGCAGTGCATAATTTGTAATTTTATGAAATAATTTTGCCAAAGACATTGGGTTTACTCATTGATAGAGAAATAAGAAATATTAACAAAAAGGTTTTTGTGGGTAGATCAAACTAAGGACTTCTGTAGTGTTCTTATACTTTTATAATGACAATAAGACAGTACTATACAATCCTTTGTTTCCCTTTAGCAGAGTTCAAGTATATATATATATATATAGTGACATTAACCATAGAAAAATTCTCTGTTTAGTATGGCCTAGAGAGGGAGTTGTAATTAGGTTTTTTTATTAGACAATGAAATGAATGGATCCTGTAAAACCAACCCAAAGGTTGTCTGCTTTTGTTTCCTACTTTCCAGATATAATTGCACTTCAATCAAGTATTTTTCCAAATGTTCTTTATCTGAAAAAATTGTGTTAACTTTTTAGTGTAACAAACCATCCACCTAAGTTTCTGACTCAAGTCTTAATCTGCACTGATTAACCCATAAATGAGGCAATTGTTTTTGTACCTTGGTGTGTTGTTAATGGAAAGCTTTGATTGGGATGTTAACCAAGCTTGAATTAGCCATATGTAGGTTGTTGGTGGTTGGTAAAGATTAAATTCTTGTTATAATGTACATAATCAATATATGTTTTTTTACGAAAACTAAGTGTACACTTTTAACTCTGTTTTGTCAAGTTCTGATAGAATTGTGACCCAATCACTTGAATTGAGCAGGGTCATTGTTTGTTCATCTTGAACCATTCATCCTGAACTTCCTTAGGTTGCAAGCTCTTTCAATTCTTATCTAACACTTGATATGGTTGATGAGGGAGATTTTTGTTACATAGAAATTAATAAATAAACTTAGCAGCCTTCTAAATGTAGTGGTTGTTGGAAATGGGTTGATAGAAACTTACTCCATCTCCTGTTTCATTTTTACAGAGATTCCTACCAATTTTTCTTGTTTTTACCCTAAAGGATGATCGCTATCAATATGACTTATTTTAACCCCATCTTGTGAAGTTAACATTTTACAATCAATATCAGTAATTCTGCAAAGGCAACAAAGGTGAATTATCTCTTATTGGAAACTTCTATATTTAGGCAGAACCTGGGAGTCAGGATGAAATTGGTCCCAAATGATTTGCAGTTGTGTTATATGCCAATGACCACTGGCTAACAAATACCTCTCTTCAAAAGGGCGCTTTGTTTTAACCTTGATATACTGGTTGGAACGTAAATCATTGGTGCAGCAGCTGCTCTGCCAACAGCTCTCTTAAAACACTAAAATACTTAAAAAAGGCATATTTTTTTCACTTAATAAAAGTTTGCATTCTAAGTAAGCTTCTCAATGATATATTTTCATCTCCACCTTCAGTTTGATTGATTTCCTTCTTTAAATTATTTAATGCTTGATTTTCATTGTGTTTCAGCGCGCCCATTTCCCCCCGCCCCTCCCCTGTCGCAGTATAACCCCACTTAACTTCGCGCCATTCATGATTTACCAGCATATTATCGTCGTCATCACCATGGTCATGTTAATCATCATCATTGTCGTTATTCAATTTTTTGTCTATTATTTTTTTTTCAAAAAGGCCTCCCTTCATTTGTTAAATTCGCGCCGAGAAAATGTAAAAAAAAAAAACCAAAAGACCTCTCCTAATATGGTAGTCATGTGACTCTTTCGTCATTGCACGCTGGAATTTACCCGCGAGGTTTAAAACCATGGCGGACAATGAGAGTGACAAGATTTCATTTGCGTTGCCAATTGAAAAGCTTCCATTCGAAAGTGATACCCCTAAAAGTAGTTTTATCTGTGACGAGAATTGTTCTCCAAATCCAGGAGAAGTTTTTACGATGAGAAATCACTCAAAGGTTGCTTCTGTGCTGTTTTCTCCGCCGCGAACTTCGCGCGTGGGTGAAGGAAAATTAAAACCCAAGTCTTTCTCGACGAGTTTGTATTCGTCGCCAACAAGGAAAACGGTAATTGTAATTGAATGTTGCATGTTTTGAACAAAAGTTCCTCGATGAACGAGAAAGTAACGGTGCGATACTAATTGAGCGTTGATTTTTTCCAGAAACTGAGCGGAGTCGAAAAAGAGAAGAGAAAAACTCTTCAAGTTCTCCAACCAGCTGCAAGCGGCAATGGCACGCTCGTTGGGAGCCGTGGCGTCGTTAGGCATAGTGAAATGGTAAATTAATAAGCAATAAACAAGCAGGTTTACGGTATATTTATCTTAGAGAAATACCTTGTGTCCTGATAGTCCACGCGTTTTCCTATTGCAGCCAATTCTCAGCCAGTTTCTTATTGTAAAATTAATAAAAATCAACACTGACGTCTTTTTTGGCCGAGCAGGATTAAGCTTGTACCAATTTTCATTGTTTGTGGAAGGAAGAAATCATGTTGAATTTCGAAGCTTGAAGTTCAATATTTCTCTCCTTCTATCGCTCGTAGTTATCAGCCTATTTTTTTTCCGAATAATTTATTGTTCTTATTTTATATTCGTTTTACATAAGTATGTTTAACCTTGATATTTCATAGAAATCTAAGAAGGGTAAATCATCACCAACTTTAAAACTCAAACAGCAGAAGATTAAGATTCTTCACAAATCAGGCAACGGTTCTTCTTCAACACTTGCCGATTCCTCGGATTCTGACACTGCTGTCAGCTCAGCCAGAGAGGTACAATCAAAAATTAATGTATATATATTCCTTGCTTTCCTAACAAATTTATTACCGTATTTATTCGATTTAACGCTGTGGCGTTGATTAAATTTTCGTGATTCGAGGGCGGCGTTCTCTTACAATTCACGATTTCACACTTTGCATGTTAATACTACAGCGATACATAAAGGGAATAAAGATCTAATGTTGAATATGCTTTCTCGACATCAGAACTAGTACATTCAAAAGGATTTGCGTCTGGTTCACTCAAAATCATGCTACCAAAGCGATGATCGCTGTGTGCATTTTAGTCTATTATTTGAATAAACGGAGAGGGGCATTTATAAATATTTCTGCTCTAAAATGCAGCGTTTAATCGAATAAACACGGCAATAGTTTTATATTTTCAAAGTGAAAGGGTCCTTCAAATCAGAGTGAGTGGGAACATACCATCCTTTTCCTTTTAAACCACACTACCTGCACCCTGTTCGAAGATGCAGGATTTTGTGAAGGGGTAAGGATCTTTACTTTAAAGAAGGCATTACAGTTTGGATCCTTCTAACAGTTTTCAAAGGAGCTGACAAAAAAACTTGATCCTTCACATTTTAATTTACTGCAATGGAAAAGTTGGTGCTCACTTTCCTGTCATCTTTGATAGAGGAGAGGGGGGAAGGCTTGGTCGAAAAAATTGAAGCTTTCCATAGGTTGGGTTATCTCTTATCTCTATCAAACTCGGTTGCTTTGAGAGGGTTTTCTAGAGGTTTGGACAGTAACTTGTAAGTAATATTAGGACCCAACGCCACTAAAAGTTGACAATTATTACTGAACAACCATGGCTTGCCTTTGCTAAATTGATTTATTCATAGCTTCTGCTTTACGAAGCAAGCCATTATCAGCCTGTGAAGACCCTTTCCTCTCATTGGCTCCAAGCCATTGATCCTCTGACAATGTCTTTGACCAGGGGTGATGAGAAGAAGCTGTTTTCACATGCTACAACACTCAGAAATGAGTATTTTGAGCATATTTTTGAATAGTGCAGTGAAGCTTTTCCTTTGTCTTTTTCTCAAAATTTAAGAGGAAGGTTGTTTACTTCCAGTCCACCAGTCCACAAGTTTGTGACATCCAACACCCCTTGATTTTTGAAAAATATTGAATCAAAAATGGTATTTTGTCTTATAGAATACAAAATCGCCTCATGGGGAACCGTTTGACGAAGCAATAGCATTGATGATTTCAGGCAAGTGGCTGCTGTATGTAGAATGCAATGTGATTTTGTAATGTTCTAATCCTATAACTTGTTGTTACAGTATGTATGATTTGTCAGATTATGTCTCAGTTTGTTCTTAGGGTATGGTAGCTTGATCAAATTTTGTATATACTGTGATGTATTTATTAATACTGGATTTTCCACCAAGTGCTATCCTTTTTATTTCTTGCTACATTGCTAAGTTACCTGTTTTTTTTTTTTTTTTTGTTTTATTAACTTGGTAACTTGTTTGACTTAAGATCCACCACCAGAGAGATATTGGGAGCTTTTGGCAGAGGAGAGGAGACTGGCTCTACAAGAGGCATTGGAGGAGAATGAAAGGGTAAATACATAAAACTTTCATTTAAAATTTATAAAATTGTTATATAGTAATCATGAACTTGCACAACTGTCTTGAGATTTGGTCATTTCATTTCATTGAATGTGCACTTACCTGCAGATGTTCAGATTGCAAGGTATATATAAAGGTGGTGGAATGAGAATTTTCCATATGCAGACTGAATGTTTTGATTAACCCTTTAACTCCCAGAAGTGATTAACATAAAACTTCTCCCTACAATATCCATACATTATTCAGCAAACAATGGATGAGAATATTCAAACTTATCAGGTAGAAGCCGTTATCTTGATCTAGCACCAAGTTCTCATAACTAATTTACAAGGAAATGTGTAGCAGCTTTAGGGGAGAATTAACAATCAGATCATGGGAGTTAAAGGGTTAACTTTCTTGTTTTTAACTCAGATTCATAAGGAGTTAGAAGAACTCAGAGAAAGAAACAAAAGCCTTGAAGAAATTGCTGGTCAAGCTGAGTATTTTGCTTCTCTATACCAGGTACTGGAAGAGTTAAGATATTCTTTGCATCTGACCCTAAACAGTTTCTCTCAGTTTGTAATCTTATGGAAAATTTACCACATATCTAGTACATATCTGTTTTTAATACTTTCTTGTGATGGAACTTTTCACAGATGGTGATGGAGGGAGAAGTTCCAGATATAGAATCCAGTGATAATGATGAAGAGGTGGATTAATACCTTTTAACTCTTACTTCAGTAAATTATTTCTGACCCAGTACCACAATTTGAGTTTTTTGTTTGTTTTTTTTTTTAAGTGGTTGATGTATTTCAAAAATAATTTTTCTACAATGTACATTTTCCTCAAGTATTTATGTATCCATGCACATATTGTTTCACCATGCATCTTGAGAAACCTATTGCACCTCAAGATTAAGATGTACCTGTATTTGTTACGATTAAGAAAAATTGCAGAATGATTGTAAATTCCTTTTCTTGTTGGAATCCACAAGATGGCAATTTTTTCCCTGAAATTGGGGGATCTCATTCCAATCTATGTACATAAAAATTATTTGTTAATCTTCAGAGATATAATTCTTAATAAGTTGCCTTGCCTTCATTAGTTCTTGTCTTTCTTAAATACAGGCCCTGCAGATGAGTGTAATTTTAAAAAAGTTAGTAAAAGCTTTTCATTTCAACACGGTTCTCAGTTATCAGAATGTGAATAATTAGTCTGGCAGTGTTGAACTTATCTTATGAACAAATCAGGCCACTTTCTAGGTAATGGATAAGAATGCATCATTTACCCTGTAGCTCTTTCCACGACTTTTAATTATTTATCATCCAACCATATAAATAGTTCTTAGAAAGGTAGTGCCGTTGTCCTGAAAATTGATGGCTTACCAAAACATACTGTTCCTCTTCTCTTATTTTAAACAAAGCAGCTGCAGTGTTTTTATGCTCAAACAAAATCTGGTCAAGTTAATCCTTGTAGAGAATTCTTCACATAATTATCCTATTTTCTCACAATAAATGCTCTCCACTTTTTTAAAAATGATGTATTGTGTTCAGGCATGTATCTCTCTTGCTCATATTTTCTTTTAAATGGAGTTGTGGTGCAAAAACTATTAAATGTCTCTATAAAGGATCCTGCATAACTTTTATCTTGGCTCTTGTACTTTATTTGTCTTTTTTCCCAAGAATGAAAAGGACTTTCTTAGCACACTGGAAAAAAGCCTGTGTATTATTCTGGATAAACTTCTCTGTGTGTTTGCCTCTGTAAAACCAGGGACAGCAGTTTTCCGTTGGTCAGTAGTAGTTAGCAATAGCACAGTGCAAGGCATGAGGCTGGATAGGATGCTATAAAATTGTTTATTTACATTCACTTAAAATTAATGGATCCATGATGTACAATTACATTGTTCTTCCCCATGTGAAAATAATTTAACCCAAGCCCTCATCTTTTTAAATCCTTTAGTGATTAACTAAAGATGATCATTTCTTGAGAGCATTATATTGTTTTATTCACAAAGTTTTAATGCCTTATTCACGAACAAACAGGTCTCTAGGGAGTTCACAAAACAAATTGTAACATGTGACTTAAAACAAGATCAAGCTCTCAATATTTAATAATCTGTTCTGTTTGTAGTTCCAATATTTATAAAACCACATACAATGTGCAATGAGTGATTAATTTGTTCTAAAGCTTAACTATTATGAAAGCTATATAGGGATTGTCTCCTTAATACATTTTACTTGTGTGACACAGCAGTGCTATTTTTATACAATTTCTCTCATCAGCTGTACCATACAGTTATATCAGGCACTTGCATCAACTGCCCATTCAACCCTTTAACTCTCAAGATCTCAACTAATTCTCTTCACTGTCTGCCATACAGTTCATGTGATGTTAATTTTGAGAATTTGGTATTTGATCAACTTATAATCCCCAATTAAATATATTTTTTTATTATCATCACTTATCTGCCTGATATTGTATTGATATTATAAGGGGAAATTCTATTTTTGCCACTCAAAGGACTCAAAGGGTTAAACTCTTAAATGGAGAGGATTTTGAGTGTCTTGCCAAGCCAGAATGTACAAAATACAATTAAGCTAGCCTAGTATAAATGTAAGTTTTTTTAGCTTGGCATGAATCTCAGTTGTTTTAATGTAGATTCCTTCAGTTTTAACCTGTAATGAGATGCAATCTATTTAAAAAAGTAGCCCTTAATGAAGTTCTTGAGCAAGTAAATTCAAAACCTATTTTAAATTTTAAGCATGAATTACAGCTGGCTACCTTTGGAAAAACATAGAAAAGCCCCACAATGGTAGGAAAGGCCATAAATTCAGTTAACACTTCTTGATATGAAATGAATAGCATAATGGCCTAAAAGTGGAACTCCAGTGGGATAATTTCACTTCCCATTACTCAATTGGAGTAGAAGTATTCTTAGCATTTGTCAATTTGCAATTTCTAGGGAATCTTTTGCTTTAGAGGCCACTAGATATACTAAAAACATCTAGCTATTAATGGAAGTTTTCCATTGAATACAAATTTGTTTTTCTATAAATGTTTCCTCTGAGCTATAGAGCTATTTGAAGTCAGAAAAGACCGACTATAAAGGTGTTCTTGAGTAACATCAAATTCCTGTCAGTTGTGATTTTGTCTGCATCAAGGATCAAACCCTTGAGAGTGCTTTTCAAAGTGGCAAATAAACCACCTTGATTACAAATCTGATTATTATTGGTAACACCAAAACTGTGCACCCAGGCCATTATTTTTATATTTCCTCTCCAACTTTTGGCTCATTCATGAACAATATATGTTGATTATTCCTCACTACCTTAAAAGGACAGCTATGCCAAGGAAAGAAATTAATAACATTAGTCAGAAGATAGCATTATTCACACTAATGAGCTAGGGAAGTGATTCTTCTTCTTAACTCTTGCCACAAGAGAGATCTTTCCTTTTCTGTTCTTTTGATAACATCTCTATTCTCAGTGGCTCTGCGCCCAAGATAAGCAAGTGCTTCACCAACAGGGCCATAAGGTACTGACTTGTACACATTGAAGCCTTTCTGCCCTGTGGTAGTAAAGGAGAAATTAAACAGAGTTTTTACAATAAAACATGGATGGAAAATCACTCTAATATTGGCTAGACCTTCCACTCATTGTTTAGGAGGAAAGGCCTCTTCACAATTTACAGCAATGCATCCCCACATGAATTCTGACTTTATGCCATCATTTATGAAGGGTATTCCTGACTTAAGTCCATTTTGATTTTTGCAATCTTGCACTGTTGGATTCATTTTCACTTCAGTTTAAAAGGTTTGCTAACTTATTTGTTTGTTTACTTGCAGACCCAGGAAAGTATTGGTAACAATGGCAGTACTTAAATGAAGGTAATTTAACCCAGCCTTTGACTAGGAATTACCTTGACACACTCTTTCCCCCTATCACATTAAATCAACAAAAATTCAGATTTCTCAATGATAAACCTAAATGTTTTCAACACTAATGCATATCCCAAGCTTTAGACTTTGGTCAAACAGACTTTTCCTTAATGGCTTTATATGTTGTCTGTCACTGTTTGTCCCTTACCTAATAAGAAAGAGACCTGGTCACACATCCCATACAGTTGTCCAAATGAAATCTTCCCTGCATCCTGTGCAATGCCAAGTTCTTTCATTCTGTTCCAAAATTTTGATATACATGTATGTTACATTAAATCAGCAAAGTAGATGTTATCAAATTAAATAACTTCTGGTTAAAGCTGGTGTGTACACAAATTTACTTGCAGTATTGCGACTCTTTTAATTGCATATTACTCATGGGTTTCTATCAACCTCTCAACAACCAGCATCATTGCCATTGTCAATGTCCTCATTAAGTTGTTACCATCTTCACCACCATTCTCTTACTTGCCATGTTAAATTCCTTATCCCCTCGATAGCTATCCTACCATCTCTTATATTGACAAGATACCAACATGCTGCACATGCATGTTGCAAGCTGGAATATGCAATTTCACCCCAAGCCCTGCTTTCATGGTCTGGCACATTGGTCAATTTTAGGAGGAAAGTGTTCCCAACACACTGAGATAAAAAAATGTCTACATTAAAATGTCAAGGTAGTGACAAAGATTCATGAAAAGTTTATTTCAAACACAGCTCGGAGGTCAATTGTCAGCAAATGACATTACTGTTCATGAGAATTCTTGAACACCTTGTTTTCAATGAGTAGCATAAAATTATGCACTTTTCAGAAATACCTTTGAACAACAAGTTTGACTGATTCTTCATTATGAGAGGCTATCATGACTTCTGCTGGAGTCCGACTTGCCAAGTGTAACAAAGTGTCTACCACTTGATCATACATTCTACAAGTATCCTCGTAGCTGTTATGTATTGGGTCATCATAACCCATATCAGCTGCTCGATTCCTCTCCATTGTCATGTATGCTCCACGAACAATCTTAGCACCAAAGTGGAAACCTAGTCTTTGCATCAATTCCAAATTTGCCATCACTCTGTCATAAGTGTCCTGTAAATTATAAAATTGTGTTATACTAGGTAATACAACAAAATAGCAGAACATCTACAAGCACCCTGATTGGTCAAAAACCTGTTGTTTATTGCATTGGTAGTTAACCATAGAAATTGGAAGTTTATTTTGTAAAAGCAATAGACTGCACTTTCTATCAGTTTACCATGTAGTAACACACTTGCAATGTTGGGAGAACACAATCCTATGTGGGTTATTACTGTACACCTGCCAGTAAATTGATAAAATGCAGTGTTTTGCTGAAATGTTGCTTAATTTTGAAGGTTTATAGGAACATTGCACATTGACACTTTTTGTCTGCCTGTATTCTTTCCTAGACCTGTACTGTATTTTGCTGGCATATCTTTAAATTACTGTCTCCTATATATTTGCAATAAATTTTGTAAATTTGCTACCCCCTGCTCCACAGAAAAGGATGTTAAAAACTTTTCTCACCTAAAATTATTGTTGAAATTTTATTTCATATCCTATAGTGGTAAATGTTGTTATTTACTTTCCATATCACAGAAACTTTTCTGTCAACTTCAGAAAATCATGAACACCTGAAATATTTATGAAATGATTATTGTTTTGTAAAGACCAATCAGAGTGCAAATGAGGACATGTAATCAAACCACAAATTAATTTACCCTTATGTTACTGTATGCTTTCTCAAGCCTGATTGGTTTGTTAGTGAAATTTCATGAATATCTCCAGAGTTAACAGTTTTCTGAGTTTCACTAAGATAGTAAATTAACCTTTCTGTAGCACTGATAGGTGTTGTAAACCCAAGGGTTGTTTCTGTTGTATTTGTACTGAAGTACTAACACCAACTGATTGATTGCTGCCTGTAGATATGTCTGCTCTGCATCGATCACCAATCGCACATTGCGATTTATGCATGCCTGACAAATGAACATTACAAATTATTTACAAATTTATTGAATAGATACCATGTGTGCCCTTATTGGTCAGTACATGTATGTAGATTAGATATAATTTAAGCATGACATAAATGAAATTAAGAAAAACGCCCTAATTGGTAATAGTCAACATAATGGTAATAATCATCAGCAGAAATGCCTAAAAATAAAGTTTTGAATTCATGACTTTTAACCCTTTAACTCCCAAGATCTCATTGGTAATTCTACTTGCTATCTGCCAAACAGTTCTCATTATGTTAGTTAGGAGAATTTGGTATCAGATCAATTGTTAATCCCATAATTGAGATTTTTCTTTATTCTCATTACTTGTCTGCATGATACTGTACAGATATAGTAAGGAGAAATTCTGTCTTGGTCACTCAAGGGAGTTAAAGGGTTAAAAAATATATTGTGATAACTTGTAGTTTAAATTACATGGTAAAGCTTTGACAAGTATGTTAGGATGAAAATCGCAAGATGTATATACCACAAAAGTAATTACCTCAGCAAATTTATCTAGTCTTTTCATTACATTGAAGAGATGCTCATTTTGATTGTCATTTAAAACGGGCACCTGAAATCAAGTGTAACACAGCAAAATTAGATCAAAGAAGTGAGTTGACATACAGTTACATCAAAAACTACTTATCCCTCTCTCTTTAAATGTTGATTTTCTAATCAATAACCTTCCAATTGAATCCTTACTGTTCTAGTGTTGGAATAGAGTCAACAAACCTTTTACTAAAGACAAGATCATCTATAAACTCATGCGATCGAATGATTCACTTTCCTCCTCACTGGTATGTATACAAATTTTCTTGTTTTTATTATTATATGAGAACATTTTTTGATATACATGCATTTAAACTAAAACTAGATAACTTTGTATACATTGTCATCAGGTTTTTCTTAGACAATGCACTACAACTTGCGGAGAAGTTCCAGCTTAGTCTCTCCTGAGAATTAAAGGTCAAAGGTTAATTAACTCACATTTAACTTCCCATCAAACCCTCTGGCAAAACTTGGAATGTCAAGTCCTTCAAGTGCCTCTGTACTGGCCTCATATGGTGCTAAGTGCTTGTTCAACACATTCTTAAACAGTTATGATAACAAAAATGTTAAAATGATTTATATACACACCAGACAAGTATGTTTTTTTCATGTAGAATAATAAGGTAATTTTGCCATAAACTTCAAATTTCATCTGTCTGATTGATGGTTATACTACTATGCCCTTTTAGCATATTAGGGTAAAAGAACATGCAGAATATTCAGCAGCATTCCATTGTAGAACAGGCAAAAATAAGAATATCAAGCAGAGCAATTAAATGGTCCCACAAAACAATTCAAACTTATTTGCTTACATCCTTCAAGCTTTACTTTTTAAATAACAAACTTTTGAGGACTATTTAATGACTATTCATTTGGAGCTATGCAAACAGACATTTTCAATTTTGCAAAAGTTAATATCATACTTATTTGCTGTCTGACTGAGAGCCACTTACTAGTAGCATAGGGCTGCATATGGCTGTCACTTTCATTTGTGAAAAGCCTCCTTCTTCTAAAAGTTGTGACCAAAACAAGGTGTTGAGATTTAAAACAGCTGTAAGAACTAACATATGGCAAGATAGTGCAAGAAAAGGAATTTTATTTTAGAAAAAAAAAATTATTTATTGCATGTCCCTGGGCCTACCATCAAATTCAAAGTTAACCCTGTAGATGGGGTAACAGAAAAGCAGTGTGGAGGTTATTACAGCAAGTCTCACCCAACCTAAATGAAGGGCCTCAGTGTGTATGGTGATAAAATATTACACCCCTCTCTTAGAGACTTATTGTTAAGTTGTTTTAATAAGTTATCAGTTACCTGTCTTTCCAATGCAGTCAAAGATGGCATTTGCATTTCTATCAAACATAGCTTCCCTGTAGAAGTAATTTTCCTCAAATTAACCATTATTTTTAATTGCTTTAAATTGTCTAGTATGTATAGATATACTTCAACAAATAAATTGGCAGTAAATGCAATCATAGTGATTAGGGAGATATCAATAATTTGTAATAGATAACAAATGTTAGTATACCATATACTATAACAGTGGATAGCTAGCATGGAGGTGCACTTTGATTGGCTTTTTAAACTCTGATTGCCATCTGCTGTTCACCTCTAAGTTATTTTTGCAAGATTTGCGTCCAAAAATATTTTAATCCCTGTGGGAATGAATAAGTTAAAATCATCTTGTTGTGCTATTTTATCTCACTGGCTTTGTAGCTCAATAAATATCTACCACCAGCCACCTCCACTTCCATGAATAGTTGTTACATTGCAATGATCCTAAAAATATCATAAAAGTTGCAGCTGAGACGGTTACAACTGTGGATATTGACTCTCTGAAACACAGGTCAAAACAAGCTCACCTATCTCTAAAGTTATCATAATCAGTTGAAAGATCCTCTTCATTAGGGACACATAACATTGTTCCTATTCCACATTGACGTAGCTCTCTTATTGTGTTCTGTATAGCTGGTAGAGTCTCCCCAGCCACAAACTGGCTATACATGGTATTGCGTAGTAGAAATTCAAACAGTGTTCTTCCCAGCACCCATCGACCTAAAGACATAAGCTGTTGAAATAAAAAGAAAAATAGACAGTTATACTCAGCCCTGCCCTAAGGATGCTAATGAAGACAAAAGGAAGAGTATTTACTCTTGTCTGACCATAAAACCAGGAACTGGCCATTTATTGTTTGGGGGTAGGGCACTTTCATTTTCC